CTAAAAATACAAAAAAATTAGCTGGTTATGGTGGCACATGCCTGTAGTCCCAGCTACTCAGGAGGCTGAGGCAGGAGAATCACTTGTACCCAGGATGGAGGTTGCAGTGAGCCAAGATTGTGCCATTGCATTCCAGCCTGAGCAACAAGAGCAAAACTCCATCTCAAAAAAAATAGTTTGAACTTAACCCTAAGGACAACAATTGGTTTTATATGAGGGAGTAATATGACCAGATTTAACATTTTAGAAAGGTCATTCTAACTTAAATATGCTAAAAGAACTGAATGAGAGAAAGCTGGACATGCTAAAATCAGTTAATATCCTACTGTAGATGGTGGTAGCAGCCAGTTTAAAGGTGGGAAAAAATTCCAAAAGGAAATACTATTAATAAACAAAATAAGAAAGAAGAAATCTTCAGAAATACCAATTTTCCAGAATTTATTAAAAAAAAAAAACACTAATCCTCAGACTCAGGAAACTCAACAAATTCTGAGTAAGATAAAGAAAAAAATATTAGCCACACGTGGTGGCGTGCCTGTGGTCTCAGCTACTTGGAAGGCTGAGGTGGGAGGATTGCTTAAGCCTGGGAGGTGGAGGCTGCAGTGAGCTGAGATCACCCAACTGCAAGCCAACCTGAGTGACAGAGTGAGACCCCATCTCAAATTTAAAAAAAAATACATAAAAATAAAAAGGAATAAATTGACACCTAAACACATCCCAGAGAAGCTACAAAGCACGAAAGACATAGACAAGTAAAAACAGGTAGACAGAAAAGACAAATTAACAACAATTAGACTAACAGATGACTTCTTAACAGCAACAGTGGAAGCCACAAGTCAGTAGAATGGTTATCTTTAAAAGAGCTGAGAGGTCAGGTGCTGTGGCTCACATCTGTAATCCCAGCACTTTGGGAGGCTGAGGTGGGTGGATCACGAGGTCAGGAGTTCAAGACCAGCCCGGCCAATATGGTGAAACCCTGTCTCTACTAAAAATACAAAAAGTAGCCAGCCATGGTGGCTGTAATCCCAGCTACTCGGGAGGCTGATGCAGGAGAATCGCTTGAACTCAGAAGGCAGAGGCTGCAGTGAGCCAAGATCACGCCATTGCACTCCAGCCTGGACAACAGAGCAAGACGCCATCTCAAAACAAAAAATAAATGAATATAAACAGAAGAGCTGAGAAATTCCTAATATAAAACAGAATAAAACACATGCTCCAGTCAGCCGTGATAGCTCACACCTGTAATCCCAGCACCTTGGGAGGCCAAGGTGGGTGGATCACGAGGTCAGGAGTTCGAGACCAGCCTGGCCAACATGGTGAAACTCCGTCTCTACTAAAAATACAAAAATTAGCCAGGTGTGATGGGCCTGTAGTCCCAGGTACTCAGGAGGATGAGGCAGAAGAATCGCTTGAACCTGGGAGGCAGAGGTTGCGGTGAGCCAAGAAGCACCACTGGACTCCAGCCTAGGCGAAAGAATGAGACTCCGTCTCAAAAAAGCAAAAACAACAACAACAAAAAAAATAAGCTCCAAACTTTGTAAACAGTAATAACAAGCACTTGCCCCCCAACACTGTAGTCTCTAAATATCACTGCCCACTAAACTGACAGACTGAGGAGAAACTGATAAACACTGTCATAGAAGAAGATTCATCACGTCCCTCAGTAAGCAGATGATATGAATAAGCAGATGATAATTCAGTAAGATACACAGAAAATTTGAACACCACAATTAACAGTGTATATGCACATGAGTGCACATGTGGGGGTGTACTGAAGTAATAAAACTATAAAGTTGTGGCAGTGGAAAAGTATAGGATTGTTTCAGGGAAGAGAGGGGAGTATACACTGGGTGATACTGGTAAATGTTAGAAAAGTACTGGAGAATACACTAAATGCTGAAATAAGGCTCATGGTAAGGAGCCTATGATGATGGGAATCAGAAAAAAGAAATTGTGTATAAACTGGATTTATATTACTAAAGTAGAAAGATAAATTATCAAATGATGGAAAACAGCATATATAGCATAATTCCTCTTTTAAAAAAATGTTGTGTATATGCATGTATGAATGTCTTTATATAAATATGGAAGTTTGGAATGATACAGAAACTGTAGAGGTGAATTTGGATGCACTGTGGGTGGAAAAACAAAGTAATATTTTCATTGTTTAATAATTTGTTTTATATTTTATTTTCTTTATGGTGTACTTCTATTGCTTTTATAATGTAAATAACATGTAAAATTAAAAATTAAAAAAGAAAAAAGAACTTTCTAAAAGATAAAATATTCTAGCAGTATTTGAGACACTCAACAAAAGGAAACTTTTAGAAAATAAACTTCTTAATACTCACCAGAACTGAGCAGTACAGTATTGATAAAATCATCACCTGTGGCAATTTCACCTTGATAATTCGGGGTTGGTTTTTTTTTTTTTTTTTGGTTGTTTTTTTGGGTTTTTTTTTTCCCCCCTAAAGAGACAAGGTCTTGTTACGTTGCCCAGGCTGGAGTGCCTCAGGCAATCCTCCCACTTCAGCCTCCCACAGCTGGAACTACAAGCATTTGCCACTGTGCCCGCTCTGCTGATTTTTTAATCATAAAAGTTAACAACAAAAAAGGGCCGGGCGCGGTGGCTCAAGTCTGTAATCCCAGCACTTTGGGAGGCCGAGACGGGTGGATCACGAGGTCAGGAGATCGAGACCATCCTGGCTAACACGGTGAAACCCCGTCTCTACTAAAAAAATAGAAAAAACTAGCTGGGCGAGGTGGCGGGCGCCTGTAGTCCCAGCTACACGGGAGGCTGAGGCAGGAGAATGGCGTAAACCTGGGAGGCGGAGCTTGCAGTGAGCTGAGACCCGGCCACTGCACTCCAGCCCTGGCGACAGAGCAAGACTCTGTCTCAAAAAAAAAAAAAAAAAAAAAAAAAAAAAAACAAAAAAGTTAATGTATATTTGTTACAATTTATTATCACAGAAATTATAAGAAAAAAATTAAGGCTGGGCGCGGTGGCTCATGCCTATAATCCCAGCACTTTGGGAGGCCGAGGCAGGCGGATCACCTGAGGTTGGGAGTTTGAGACCAGCCTGACCAACAAGGAGAAACTCTATCTCTACTAAAAATACAAAATTAGCAGGGCGTGGTAGCGCATGCCTGTAATCCCAGCTACTCGGGAGGCTGAGACAGGAGAATCGCTTGAAGCCGGGAGGTGGAGGTTGCGGTGAGCCGAGATCACACCACTGCACTTCAGCCTGGGCAACAAGAGCGAAACTCCATCTCAAAAAAAGAAAGAAAGAAAGAAAGAAAAAGAAAAAAATCATTTACCCCTACGTCCCATCTAATTTCTTTAGGGTAAACAGTATTAACAATTTAATATATATCCTTACATATCATCTTCAATATTCATACACAAATGTTTGTTTTCATAAAGAGAACTGTATACATATTACCTCACTACTTATTATTCATTAGGACAATTTTAAATACATTTACCAACAGTTGCAAAAATGCATTTTGTTTTATCTACATGAAATGATTTTGTTTGGGTTTTTAATTGTTTCTTATGAGTAAAAACACAAGATATCAAATTGAACCTCTTAAAACAGTTAGGCTGATTAAAATGTTAAAATAGGATACAACAATAACCTGGTTATCACAGGTTGTTTTTTCTTTACTTGTTTTTTTTGCTTTTTGGTCTTGTTTTTACAATATACTTTTCTAAGCTGCAAATCTATTATCAAGTTTGTTTCAACTATCAGTAGTCAAAAATAAGCCTAAGTAACCTAAGATACTACATACTCCCAGGCCAGGCCAATTCAGTGAACCTAAGAAATCCTTGTTGTAGGTTGTAGCTCCCAAATTCAGCAGAGAGATGAGTTAGATTCTGATCCTCTGCCTCAAACAGTACTCACAGAAATTAGATGAAATGGCCTATGAAGTCAATGTATCTACCCACATGTGGGGAAATCTTGGTCCGTAAGAAATAATAGCCAGCTTTTTGTCCAGTCTAACTTTTACTATACACAGGATGGGCCTTTCACCAAAGCCCAAGAAGAATATGTCACTAAAGGTCTTAATGTATAAATAAACTATAATAATAATAATAATAAAGTAGTATTTCCAAAGATTTGCTTACTGTTACCTATCATCTTTTTCCCTAGCTAAAAACAAAAAATTGTTCTCATTGGAGCACCATCCTTCAGATAGCTAATTGGTTACAGCTTGCTACTTTGTCCTTATATAGAACCTAATTTAGGTTAAAGGAATTACAACGTGTAAAAAAGACCCTATACCAAGATCCTCTAAAATTTATCATTATTACCCACTCTCCTGCCTATCCACCACAATCCAATACACATGTGTTGTTTAAATATACATCACATTTTGTTTATGGTTTTGTTTTTCTTTTTTAAAGAATAAACACATTCAAGGGCAATGAACAAAATACATTCAGGTTAAAACCATCTCATCAAAATTCTCTACAGTTCCAAAGAAGAGACTATTCTTTTTTTTTGTTTTGGTCTTATACACACTATGAATATGAATATGACAGCTTCACGGCTCCAACGTAATTATAAAAAATAAAAATAATATGACATTACGCCGGGCGCGGTGACTCAAGCCTGTAATCCCAGCACTTTGGGAGGCCGAGGCGGGCGGATCACGAGGTCAGGAGATCGAGACCATCCTGGCTAACACAGTGAAACCCCGTCTCTACTAAAAAATACAAAAAAATAGCCGGGCGAGGTGGCGGGCGCCTGTAGTCCCAGCTACTCGGGAGGCTGAGGCAGGAGAATGGCGGGAACCCGGGAGGCGGAGCTTGCAGTGAGCTGAGATCCGGCCACTGCACTCCAGCCTGGGCGACAGCGCGAGACTCCTTCTCAAAAAAAAAAAAAAAAAAAAAATGACATTACTTTGGCAGGCAGGCATACATTTTCATTTAATATGACACAATAAGATTACTACTTTCTCCCAAAAGTTAACTCCTATTGCCAATAAAAACTTACTTCTAGTTCTTTAATTTTTTCTTCTGCTATTTTCTGCTTCTCTAACAGCTGATTGTGAATTGCTTCCTTGGACTGAAGAATAAACCTATGAAACACAAGAAAGTTGAAAATTAAGCCACATGACTATTGTATTCATCAAAATCAATAGCTACATACCACAAATATTGAACTGAGCAAACTAAAAGGACAAATGCATATTAACATAATATGTCAAGCTCAGGAAACCACCATAAGTTTAAACCTTCCTGGCTGAGTAGGAATAAAGGCTTAAAAGTAGATTCTGCTTTCTTATTTAATATAGGAATCAGGCAGGGAACAGCGGTGCGGGCCTACAGTTCCCATACTCAGGAGGCTGAGGTAGAAGGATTGTTTGAGCCCAGGTGTCTGAGTCTAGTCTGGGCAACATAGCAAGACCCTGTCTCATTAAAAAAAAAAAGGGGGGGTGGATGGCGGGAGTTGGGCACAGTAGCTCACACCTGTAATCCCAGCACTTTGAGAGGCCGAGGCAGGAGGATTGCTTGAGCCTGGGAATTCAAGACCAGCCCAGGCAACATGATGAGACCCCATCTCTACAAAAAATAAATTTAAAATATTAGCCGGGCACAGTGGCACACGCCTGTAGTCCCAGCTACTCGGGAGGCTGAGGTGGGAGGATCAGTTGAGACTGGGATGTCAAGGCCACATTTGACATGTGACATGTGACATGTGACATGTGGCCACATTTGACATGTGGCCTTTGACATGAGCCATGATTGTGCTACTGCACTCCAGCTTGGGTAACAGAGCAAGATCCTGTCTTAAAAACATTAAAAAAAAAAAAAGAGAAAGAAAGAAAAGAAAAGAAAACCAGGCTTCAAGTAGATTCATATGTAAAACAAAAAATAAAGGAATAAAAATATATCATAGGCCAAAGAAAAGTCAACATACAAACAAAAAAAACCTATAAGTTTTTTTTTTCAGTTATCTGTTTCAATTTTTATGTAGATATTTTTAAACAATATTTGTAAAGTAGAGTGCCCCTCCATCTTTTTTTTTTTTTGTAAAAAAAAAAAGCAGTAACTCATGACCTTTTAAAGTCACAATCAAGTACTGTTGTTAAGATCAATGCATTAGTGTTTATATGAGTTCCTCAAACAAAAAGCACTGTATAAGCCTTAGTATCTTTTACTATTATTTCCAGAGTGTATAGTACCTCTGAAAAGCTCAAAATGTACAAGTGGAAATTTTCAACTTTTTCCATTTTACTGTCAGGCACATTATTTGCCACTGATGAGGGTGGAAATATGGAGACGTTTTAAAAATTAACACTGAATCTGTTTTATGACTTTATGTTCACAATTCTTGCTGCAGGAAAAGGAAGAACAAACTTTTACAGCCTCAAGAAAGTGAACTGAAATATTTCCCCTCCACTGGAACCAAGGGAAGACCCCAGTTATGCAAATCTCTTTCAGGACTGTCTAAGGAAGCTAAAATAGATTTCAATTTAATATTGCAATTAATTAAGCAAGACTTTTCTTCTCTTTGCACTAACAGAGTTCAGCAACAAAGAACTAAACATCATCTCTTAACAAAAAGCCAAACGAGAAAACATAAAAAGGTAGCAACATGCAGTTTCCTCTGCCAACCCCACAAAAACATCATGGTGCTTAGGTGGGTTCTTATCAAGAGAGTCTGTTATTATAGATATAAGACAAGTGAAAACAGACCAAAAAGGGCAATTAGCTATGCCCCAACCCCTGAAAGGAAACTGCCTTTTCCCCTCTTCTTCAAAACTAAGCCTTATCACATATATTAATACAATCTGATGAACTTCTTTTACTCCACTAATTATTAAGCTTATATCCTAATGTGGCCAGCTCAGATAATTTTTTTTTTTTTTTTTTTTTTTTTTTTTGAGACGGACTCTCACTCTGTCGCCCAGGCTGGAGTGCAGTGGCACAATCTTGGCTTACTGCAAGCTCCGCCTCCCAGGTTCATGCCACTCTCTTGCTTCAGCCTCCCGAATAGCTGGGACTACAAGCGCCCACCACTATGCCTGGCTAATTTTTTCTATTTTTTAGTAGAGACAGGGTTTCACCGTGTTAGCCAGGATGGTCTCGATCTCCTGACCTCGTGATCTGCCTGCCTTGGTCTCCCAAAGTGCTGGGATTACAAGCGTGAGCCACTGCGCCCAGCCCAGCCCAGATAATCTAACTGATGATCTTAGTCTTCAGTAGTAACTTGATTATTTGTAAAAACCTTACTGTATATTTACAGGAAAGATAGCCCACATTCATGCAAAACAAGGATTAATTCTAGGTCTTTTACTATAGAACCCTTCATGTCTAAAATATTCTTACTGGATCCAAGAGACAGGTGCTATTTCAGATAAGATTATGGTTTACAGAATATTTTTCTCAGAACTCACTCATATTTGTATTTGAAGAGAAGAGTTGTTTTGAACAATATTAAGTCTCAGTAATGCCATGTAAAAACTATTCTAAAACAAGGTGCAAGAGTCACCAAATTATGTTATAACATGTGATTTTACTGAGAAAGTCTTTTAGCCATGGCAATAATTTTTTGAGTAAAATATACATTTTTAAGTAGCACTGATAGCTGGCCAATGAGTACTATTCTCAAAAGGTCATCAGACATCATCTTTATTAGTGTCTGGGAAAATTTCAAAGCTAAGATTAGAGGTCAAGTCATTACTTATGTGGCCTTTAAAAATAAAGTATCTGAACAGATACTAAATCTCTTGAGCAGAAAATAAAATTACTAGAAAGCAAGAACACTCAACAACAAAAACATGTTTTTCCATGACCACATATCCTTTGAGGTAGCTATATTTGACTGTGCCAACTTCAAAGGCCAGAGAGATTCCACCAAAGCTGGCCAACTCACTACTATAAGCCTAAGGACATCTCAGCCACGCAAGTTTTAAACAAGGATGAGTGCTGGGTAAATGCAAATGTCTACCTCAAAGAGCAGTTACACAGTAAAAATTCAAACACAAAAACTTATGGAAAGTTTGGTTTAGTCCTCAATTTAAAAAATGGCAAAGATACATTGTATGAAGATTGGAAAGGGCTGCAAGAAACATCTGATTTCTGAAAAAAAGTATTTGGAAAACATCTTTCCTATTGTTTAAAAGGGCACTGGATTATCAGATACTATGTGAAGAGAAAGGATTTATCATGATAATATGAGTCTTTTCATAAGCAAATATTATGTACACAGTTTCTCAATGTAGAGAATCTCATAGTCATTCTGCCTGATTGTTTATGGAAAGCCAAATAGTAAATAAAGAATTCTGGAGTTCAAAATGTACCAATAAGGAAAAATAAACCATGAAGAGGGAAAGTATTCTCTCATGACAAATAATATGCAGATAACATGCTTCAAATACTCAGGATTATATAACCTGAATTCGAGTTGATGCTTTGCAAAAGGCCTCTTCTTTGACCTGGAAATTCATGTGCCTCTGCAATGTCCACTCTCAAGGACTTGTAACCTGCTATTTGACTTCTTCATTTATTTGTAATTATGCCATTTGAAAACATAATTCTGATGGCTTTTGGTTTTGATTATTTGAGAAACACCAGACTCCGTTTTCTAAATCGTCCTGCAGTTTGGTACGACTTCCACTTTCTTATAACTCAGTATGAATCAAAACCGTTGTTTACCTGCCCAAAACACAATCTCAGATCAGCTGCACTGCTGCATTTTGGACACACTTTCCAAAGTATGGTCACCTAGACATATGTTATTCAGAAACAACGAAATGATTATGACAAGTTCACTTTGGGTGGGAAATTTTTAGAGGGTGTCTAAAAATGTGTCCTAATAGCATTTAGGTTTCAGGGTATCCACAAATTAAGCAGCACAGAAGACACATAAGAATGAGCCTATCTTGCTTCTTTGCCTAACTCCACGGGTGAGGAAAGTTACTGAATTTTTATGTTGTAATTTTTAGCATGGAAGAAAGTAGAAATAAATTGAATCTTTTCTACTTTAATTTTTTTAAATTGAATATATTTCTTAATCACTTCTTTAGTAAGGAAACTTTATGGCATATCCACATTGTGGACTGCTCAGTGAGTTAGAGACTTCTGTTATTGGCATAATGAAGAGTAGATACCCTGAACACTCCTGATTAAAAACAAAGCAAAAAAAAAAAATTTTTTTTTAACATTTGGTTGAACTAACACAAAAGAAAGGATTCCACAAAGGCCCAAAGTGAAGTGAAACTGGGAATTGAGGAATGTAAGACAGCAGTAAATTGGCTTTTACCCTGAGAGTTTATGCTGAATTCTGGAGACCTTAAGCATCCACACTGGCACAGAAATAGGATACAAAACAGGAGATAAAACCAAGGGGGCAGCCAGGCATAATGGCATGCACCTGTAGTCCTAGCTACTCAGAAAGCTGAAGTGTGAGGATGGCTTAAGTGCAAGAGTTCAAGTCCAGGACCTGGGCAACATAGCAATGGCCCATCCCTAAAAAATAAATAAATTTTTTTAAAAAGAATGACTAATTAAATAAAAAACAAAACTGAAAATTTTAAAAAAAACAAAATAGTATTTTTATTGACATGTAAAGATGTCAATACAGTAAGTAAAAACTCACATTTAAAAAATTAGCATGTTGGCCAGGTGTGGTGGCTCACAGCTGTAATCCCTGCACTTTAGGAGGCTGAAGTAGGTGGGTCACTTGAGGTCAGGAGTTCAAGACCAGCCTGGCCTACATGGTGAAACCCCCATCTCTACTAAAAATATAAAAAAATTAGCTGGAGTGGTGGCAGGTGCCTGTAATCCCAGCTACTCGGGAGGCTGAGGCAGGAGAATCACTTGAACCCAGGAGGTGGAGGTTGCGGTGTGCCAAGAACGTACCATTGCACTCCAGCCTGGGAGACAGAGTGAGACTCTTGTCTCAAAAAAAAAAAAAAACTTGTCATTCCACTTGCAAGATGAAAAAATAAGTAAAATAAAAAAGGATTTACACAAAGATGAAATGGGACTGGAAAAGAAAGAGATAGCTTTTTAAAATTCATCGCTTGAAAAATGTTTCCTCTTGAATCCTCAATTTTTTTTTTTTTTTTTG